TCATGGTAGTTTTTAATATGCTCTTTAATATGGTGGTAGAAATGTCCGATCAGAATTTAATAAAGTGTAACTTATAGCGCCTCGAAAGTCAATGAAGAAAAGTGAATTTTTTTGGCGCCCCCCCCCCTGTACACTATGTATACCGTAGCTATTCTCAGTGCAAAAATCATTTCAGGTGGAGGCCGTACGTTGATCGAAGGGAAGCTGTGGACTCGTGATGGACGTCTAGTATTTTCCACTGCACAAGAGGCTCTCATTCGTGCTCCAAGGAAAGATCAGCAGCCATGCGTTAACGGAAGTGCTCGTTGATTCCTTGACCCTTACTCGATCTCTTTCTAGTCATCTCTAGCATAATCTAGTCCTTATTTTCGAATCCTTTAACGATATGCTTTACAACAATAAGTTAATTTGTGCATAATGCATTCCATGAGTGTGCATGTCACTTATAGAACAGAGACCAAGGTTCAATAGGTATAATAATAGTTATTTTGTGCTAAATGTTGTTAATGGCACTAGGATTAGTAATATTAGAACCAGTAATAACAGTAATCAAATTTCAAATTAATACAGTGTTGTGTTCACATGAAATGTTCAGGAATGGTACTGCTATCAGGGTCAGCATCAGCGTGTGTGAAATGACAGTGTGAGTACGATTTCCTTCTCCCCCCCCCTCCCCTGCACACACCACCACCACATTTGCTTTTTCTGTACGCCCCCTTTTCCCGTCTCACCCACCATTTATTACTGTTAGGATACAGTGGAGGAGGTGGAGTTAGTCACTGATGAACTATCAGAATCAACTAATAGAAACAGGGCAGTTCTGTTGTTCTGGAAAACTTCCGAAAAATACGACCCCCCCCCATGTTCCCTCCTGCGCTACGACCCTTCATCTTCATCACCGAAAAACAAGAAAATCAGCTGTCAAAGAGAATTTCTCTGACCAAATACGATCCCCCTCCCCCGGGAATAACGGTGGGATCCCCAACGTACGACGTGTAACTGTGTACAGAACAGCGGCGCTCGATTGAGATGTCATGAAAACTAAACAAGAGAAGATTTAGCGCGGCTTAGAAAAATTTCTCTTGTGACCAGATATAGCCCTTTAACCCCTACCGACCGAATAGAGTTCCTACTGAGACCATATACAGCATTCCCCTCTTCTCCCCTTCCTCCACTCCTTTCCCCCGCCCGCCCCCCGACCGATGAAATTCTCCCAATGATGCTGTACCCTGACCAGTGTGCCCCAAGACACGTATAGCTCTAAGCCTAAAATGGCGTGAGTGAAAGCTTGCTCTGAGCATAGATAGATAGCATGTGAGCCCTTGTAGTTCATGGTCTGAGATGCTGAAGCATCTGCTATCTACTAGGGTTGGATTAGCTCTCATAACTACTGTTTATAGCTATGTTTAACCTGTAGGGTTTCATTCACCATGACTTCCACACATGACTTGGTGTTGGAGGGTTGTTATTAAGCAATATTAGACTGTCGAATAGGCTGAATGTATCGATTTATGAATATACCTAGTGTTTCTGGCGTTGTGGCAATTATAGTGATTTTCCCTCAGTTGGTAAACATTTGTTGAAATCTGTACAAATCTCATGTTTATTAAAAACCATCCTGTACAATGATAATATAGAAAACGTCCACAAAATCATATGTTCTGGAATCAGAATCAGCACCGACACTGTTTCATAGGTGAATGCATGATAACTGTTTCATCGGGATACAGACCTAAAAATATCGTTCGAGGATCGGGTGGGCGGAGTCGGGGAGCGAGATCATTGGTGCGCCATTGTCTTGTCTTTGTTCACCGCCAGGGATGAGAGGGGGCACGACATAGACGTCGTTTTCTGGCTTTTCCACCGGACAATTGAAGGTGTCATCATCGTTGGAAATTTTGTATTGAAGGCAGTAGGGACGCTGATTAGGAGGATCCATGGACTTCCGCACCTGGTGGAAGAGCGTGCTTTGCCAGTTTTGATTATGTGAATGAATCCCTTCTCCTAGCCATTGTGCCTAATACCTTTATCTGAGACCACTATAAAGTCCGATTTGCGATCAGTTCTCGTTTGCAATTTGCAGCGCAGCCTCAGACCCACTTATAATCAAAGTGGTTTTCACCTGTTCCTATTCGTCTCGTCTTTCTAACACAGCTTTCGCTGGTGTGGGGAGGCAACAGTGCAAACCATGCGGTCGGTCGGCAGGTATTCTTTGGATTCTCAGGTGTAGGCGTCAGTTCAGTTTTTTCATTCCCTTCATTTACCATTCCATTTAGGCTTCATGGTTAGGTTGGTTGTAAGAGGGCTAGATACGTTCCTTTGGAACAAAGTGATGATGTGATAGCATGAGCAGCTGGTTCCCAGAGGAGACCAAAGAGAGTCCTGCCATTGATACCATTCCAATCTGCATCCCATCAGAACACCATGGAATGTGTACAGCCGTCATACTCGTATGCTGAAGATGCCAAAAATCGAACTATCCTATCACCTGAGAATCCCTGCTGTATCAAAAGAGGCAGAGTGCTGTGATTGAATGAATGCAAGTAGTATTGGAAGAACAGATTACTATGAAACCCACATACACTGACTGTGCTGCTCCTGGAGTTCTTGAATGAGATTTCGCAAAGAGTGGAGGAAAATCGAGCACTGCCAACAACATGTACAGCGCATATCTTAGAGTGGGAAGGGGCGTGGCCGCGAGCGCTTCAATATCATTGAGAGTCCAGACGAAAAAGGAGCAAAGCATAACATTTATAAGAAACGAGAGTCGTCTCGGGAACACGCCGCAGTCGTGTGACCTTTTTGCCCTCCGATATAGACGTAGACTTTCAACTCGTTCCCACGACACCTCATAGGTAAAGGAAGTACAGCAAATTCGATTTCTGATGGTTTTAGATGCAATCAAATGGATACAATGAATGCTTGGAAGCGTTTCAATACATAGCATATCGGATTAACATATACAAACAAAATAAAAATTAGAGGAGATTTCAACATAAGCTGCGTATAATTCTTCTTTTTTACATGATGTTATTGCTATTAGATGCGGAGAGCAGTGCGATGAGCAAGCGCATGTAGTCGCCACTACAAGTTTGTTGAATGTCGTACTCAAGTGCCCGTTGATACTTGCGCTTGTACTCCTCGCAAATGTCGTATAAGTCGATCTGAAACAATGCGTACATCTTGTTTTTCGATCTCTAAACTATTAATGCTGTTTAAAGGCAGTTGGCACGATAAATCCCTAAGGCGAGTAGGATTAATACGCCTGGCAGGACGGAATTCCGCGACCCTGAGCAGGCGCTGCGTAGCGCCTTTTCCAAGGAAGGTACCCTTATAAGGCCCTATCAAGCTGCAACATACCGACCCGACGCCCACCGCGCCCGCCCGCCCACAAATGGACGACCGTACCTGATGCTCGTATTGCTTCATTTGCTAAGTAAAATATGAAGCGAAGGGATTGGTATGAAGCGGCTGCGGTGCTGCATGGATATATGAGTACATACGTGCAGCCGTATCTACCGTAGCGGTTATTGGCAAGATGCCTACGGGAAACTCGTCCGAATTTTTGGGTCATTGAGAATGAAGGCTTTTCATGGCAGGTGTTTGACCGTTGCTTCGTTCTTACGTTCCCACTACATAGCGCCCTGCTAGCGTCCTAGGCCGAGTACCAGATTATCGTGTCTACTGCCTTTGAGAAAGCGCGCACTTTGATTCAGAGATCAGGGATGGGTGACATTCTCTAACAGCGTACATTGTGCTGCCGTTGTGTTTCCTGGTCTTTGCTGTGTGTGGGGAGAATGGGTCCGCAGCTGTAATAGCGTGGCAATTTCTCTGCTCAAAAATGCACGGAAACGGGGCTGGAGGGCAGTGTCACCCCGGAGCCAGCTATATGCTCCACTCTTCACTGCCGAACGGCCAGCTACGGTCGCAAAAAAAAAACTTGAACAATGCTTTGAAAAGGCATTTTCATCTGTTCTAAGCTATCTAATCTCTTCTTATACACCAGTATTAGGGTCAGAAGCTAAGAATATAATGTTATAATACAATAATATTGAAATTTTGGTTCAAGTGGAGATAGTGTAGTGGCAAGTGGCGCCACTTACCACAAGCGTGGTCTGGGGTTCAAAGCCCGGATCGGCTCCCGCCTGAACCAACCGAGTTTTTCGTGCTGCGGGGGAAAGCTTATTAGTAGTAGACTTCTCTAAGAAGATAAAAAACTCGACTCCTACATTGGCAGCCCTCAGCCCACCACAGGTCCCCCTTCCTTGAAGTGCCTCATCGCCGTAATCTTCAAAATTCTGTCCTTGCAACGAATTCAATCACCAACTTTCTTCTTCAGAGTAGCTTTTTTAGGTGTAGTTGATTTTAGCAAACTACGTCAATGTACAGTTTAAAACTTCGAGGTACAGCTATGGAGAAGCGCGCGACTTGGGCTTGTTCCAAGTTTTTTTTTCCGCGACTGTAAGTACCTACCCTTAGCCGCACACATTACTTGTCTGCCCTCTCATTGTGTACTGGTGGGTATGTGTTTCGAATCGAGACCTTGGCATCGACGCAGGTGCTGCACGTTGAGGATAGCGCATGCGGGGAGGCGTTACTCTGGTACTAATCCGTTCTTTTGAACAGAAAAAAAAGTGGCACGTTACTGCAGCTGCGAACCCACTCGCCTCGCCACATGTACGCAACGCGTTCTCAGGGACTGAGTTCAGTAGATCGCACGCAATAAGAGACCACTCAATAAGAGACTGAAGACCGGCAATTTTGCCGAAGGAGAACACTTCGAAATTGTTTCAGAGTACTGCATCTCGGCTATTTTTCCTGGCAGTGCTTATGGAAAGACACTTATAGGTTCAGCAAGACAGAACGCTTTACGTTGGCTTACATTACTTACGGAACACACATAATAGAACGTCTTCCTGAAAGGATACAGTTGTCGTTGGGTCACGTATAGCACAGAGGACCGATTGGTTTACTACTGTTTTAAGAACAGAGTCTGCAATGCGTGTAGCTACACTGCTTATCCCTGATGCCAGAGTAGCGTGGCATTTGAACATGGCACAGAACTGGTTACTCGTGGAATATTCCAATCTGGGACAACTGTCATCTATGTCGTCAGCGCGTTGTTGGACCAAAAAGGAGAACACTGACAACGATCTGTGTCAGAGATGAAAATATCCTTCACCACGAAGCATAACACCTCCAGGTTAAGTTGAAAAATGCGTCCCACGCCTACCCGATCTCAGGGATTTCGAGTATAGCTCTTGAACCCTTATTGTCCCCACAGCAAAAATCGACAAAATTTCGTGGCGAAAAATGCCCGCATACAAAGTCACCCCTTATGTTGATTCCCTCAGCTCTAATTTTATTCTTGGCTCCATGTTGGAGTTATTTTTGGCGAAAGCGAAATTGCTCATGTGAAGTCAGCGCGTCATCTTTCTCTGACGGCATGCTTTCCAAATCTTAAGTGAATCTAAAGTGATTAATTCCCAGTCTTTACCTCACTACGGCTGACGGTGATACGTATTATCGTTTGGTGATCAGGCCTCTCTTGAGTGAGAGCCGTTCTCAGCTGCTCGGCAAAATAAAGCTGCATATTCCTTGATACTCGAACTAAAACAAAAGCTATATGAATTGGGAAAAGGTATATAGGAGGAGGGCATAAACAGCCTAGACGTACTGATGGTGAGGAAAATTTGGCGGATCTCCGAGTGAAGCTCTTTATTCTTCCGTACCATTGTCTCAACGTCCCTCTCGCCACTTCGCAGTTCATCTACCTGAAATTGGTTTAATGAGGTAAAAGAGAGCGTGACTCCATCAAGTGCCTCATTTTCGATATGTTCCCGTAAAAATAGTTTGCGAGCTGTGTCGTTTAAATCGAATCGTACATTGGATTACACCCAAGGTATCCAGCGTTCCACCTACACTCCTTATCACTGAGACAGAGAAGGCGTGGCATTTGAGCATTACATAGAAAGGGCTTCTCGTGGGATATTTTAGATTGAGACAACTGTCATCTTGTTCTATGTTGGACAGAGACACGACCACAATTGTGCCAAAATGAAGTACTCTTTAAAGGCACAGCCACCTCCACATTTTTTTGCCACGAAATAGCAGCCACGCCTAACGCATATCAGGGATTTCAAGTGTATAAGGATAAGGTCTGGAGAAAAGTAACATGGATACGAACCCAACCGAAGAGTCGGGGCATGTTCCAGAGACAAACTGTACATTTACCTCCGAGGCAGGGCACATCATTGGTTGGGGGTTTTGGTCGAGTCCGTACGACCCCCCTCCTTTTTTGGAGAGGGGGGGGAGTTGGTACGACCCCTGGTTCCCTCGTATCGAGTTGCCAACGGGTGGGGAGTTGTTAGCGAGTTAGATGGTGCACATTGATCAGAAAAAAATCAAGAAAAGTCGGGCAACCTTCTTCAGAAGGACAGACAGGATACGACCGTCGCCTGTGGGGGAATCCCCAACAAGATGAGCTCTGCTCCGAGGACGGTCTTCTGCATGTGCAAGGCGAAAGGGTCCGCCATTGCGGTAGCGTGCCACTTTATTCGCTCAAAAGTGCATGAAAACGTGGCTGGAGGGTTGTGATACACGGGTGCCATCTACCGCCTCCGCCTCTGTTATCCATAGTGCAGCACTTGTGTCGATACTAAAATCTTGCCGCGAACACGCAATGAGTGCTAGAGGTCAACAGAAGTGAGACCGCGCTGACAAGTAGCGCGTCTTGCTATGGTTAGGCGTGTGGCTGGCCGAGAGGCAGCGCTAACGAAGTCGGGAGACAGCATCCAGATATCA